TCGAAGTTTCCGCTCAATATGGTAGAACTGTCTGGACATTTGTATTGAAAGTTGTGACTGTGATGTTGATTCTTCAATTGTAAAAATAGAAATAAACTGGTGAATTCTTGTTAGTAGTTCTGAGTAGTTTAAAAGATAGATGTGGATGAAATGAAGTACTGAAGATTTCCGTTTATTTCTTTTTGATCCTTAAATCCATTTATTATTTTTAAATATTCAAGTAACGTTAATTAGTTGGTCACAACAGACAGTAACTGAAGGTCTTCGATTTCCTATTAGTGGATATAGGAAACGTATCATGAAGTGAATACTGTGATTCCAGAATTGTATTTTGGCAAGTTTAACAAATTATTTTTTATTTCGAATAATTTAACCCGATCAAATTATTTTTTTTTCACATGTTCATTATGTTAGTAAATCAATAAAAGGTTTTGTCTCAATAATGCATTTTCTGAATTAATTATCCATATTCATCAACTTAGTGTTTACTTCATATTATCATCAATAGATCATAGTTATTTCATAAAAAAATAAAAACAAATTTGACCTTAAAACACAAAAACAAATAAATTCAACAATTCAGACGAACGGGTTTGTTTTTATAATAATAAAATTGAATAAAAATAATTCTATATAGAGTTGTAAACATTTTTCATGCATAATTTATGTAGGAATTCTAAAGTTTTCATCCTAATGTATCATTGACTTTACATATTACTTATTCATTTATTCAACTACGAACTAACTTTGTATTTAAGAGAAGGTTTTTACAGTAGATTAGTAGTGAATTGCCGAAACTACGTTTTTGATAATTAAAACACGGTAGTGTGAATTAGATTATTTTTGAAGTTTTGAGAAGCTGTATTTTTCACTTGTTTTATATTCTGGTGATATGATTAATTTATAAACATTTATGTTATGTTTCAAGTTGGTCCTTATGGTCTCATAATAGTTTGAGGTTTTTGTGACATGACTTTTAATATTAAAGAAACACGGGTCGGTTAAATATGTTACTGAAGACTCGGATATATACATTTACACATATTTTCTGCTTAAATCATATTGCATATATGCTTAGTTTTAGAATAATAGACATTACAATCACTTTAATTTCTCTGCTATGGTTCTTGTGAATTTCATCTGATCAATTTAATGTGCTAAATTAGACTAATGAATGATAGTTCCAGTGTTTGTATTTTACACATTTGAAATCATCAATCAGTCATTGTTAGACCACCATTAGAAACCTGGAAGCACTGAAAGACGGCCGTTTCGTCCTGGTATGAGACTCATCATCAGTACTCATCCGCGACTCCTTCACCTCTCAGGATTCGAACCCAGGACCTTCGGTATTGTGCGCGAACGCCTAACCATCGGACCAATGAGCCGGTATCTGACGGTGTTAATGTCTAACTTGATCGATTCACGGATTTGCGCAACCTCATACACAGTCTTCGGTAGTTACTGCCTACACCCGACAGGGTTGAACTTCATTGGTCACGTCTTATCATCTAGAACTCCGAGAATTTCCTCTCCCCCAAAATTTGTATTTTATTCTAATTGGTTGACTGCGTTCATTATTTTTTTAAATACATGTCACAATCAGGTTCTATCTTCCTTTCACAAACCAATCATTTAAAACATATCAAACTCAAAAGAGATTGGAAATTGTGATGTATAAAAAACTTAAAGACCATAGAAAATTGATAGTAGTTTTTTTAAGTAATCACTTGAATAATGATAGAATAAATCAGTTGAGTAAATGTACATGTGATAGTTACCGTTTATCTAAGAAGGCTTAACAAGGTCGATATGCTTATGAACAGAGCATAGCATATAAAAACTCATGGGATTCATTCTTATATGTGATTTAAAGAAATTTCTTAAAATATCTTTTTGACAGTCAGCAATATTAGATAGGTTAAGAAATATCATCTATTCTGTTTAAGAATTTAATTGTTATAATCAGATTTCACTAAAAAAAGGTCAATTGATTTTATACCTAATAGAGTTGTACTTATTCAGTCCTATTAAACTATACACAAATTCATAACACTTACATACTTAAAGAGTACTGTTGTTAGAATGTACTTTTACGAATTTAACAAAAAAACTAGTCATTTTAGATTTGATCTCTGATTCACGTTGTTATCCGCTAATCAGAATTCATTACAAATTAAATTTTGATGTATAATCTACATTGACAATGTAATAACTTTGATAAAAGATTTTGATTTAATTAAGGTTATTAATCAATCATTGTTAGACCACCATTAGAAACCTGGAAGCATTGGACGGCCGTTTCGCCCTGGTATGGGACTGATCAGCAGTGCGCATCCATGACTCCTGCACCTCGCAGGATTCGAACCCGAGGCCTTCTGTATTGTGCGCGAACGCCTAACCATTGGACCACTGGGCCGCTATCTGACGGTGTTAATGTCTAACTCTGATTGATCTAGGGATTTTGCGCGACCTCACCCATTTGTCATTGGTAGTTACTGCCTATACCCGATTGGGTTGAACTCCACTGGTCACGTCTTCTTACTAGAACCCCGAGAATTTCCTCACGAAACTAGTCACTAGTGAGCATATTCTACGATATTTTCAATTAGAGTTATGGAGATTAGTGTTTCTACAGTGCTTCCAGGCTCCGAATGGTGGTCTAACAATGATTCATTGATGATTTCAAATGTGTAAAAACACAAATCTCCAAATCTCTGACTGATAATAAGGTTATCAAATTGATTTAATCTGTGTTGATAGCGGATTATTTGAGTAGTAAATTAAATACAAATCTGTCAGATAAAGAAATGCTCTAATTGTGTGAAATAATCAATATGAATGGAAGATACGTTTTGTTACAAGCAATGTATGATGGTTAGAATGCTGGTGGTGATATATGTGAATATATTTGTTAAAAGTTTTCTTGTTCAAGTGTACTCGATTTATGTAGGTATTCATTTTGTATTTGAATATATTTTGTCACTACAATTTGTTATGATGTAGTTTTAACTAGACATCAGCAAACTTTTAAACGTATTGTCACAAATAAATTTTCCTAATGAAATATCAGTTAAACTAGACAGTTATGATAACACAACATTGAAGGTGTTTATTTTTGTTGTGTTTTCTGCCTGTGTGCTGGATTCTACTCATATAAAGTGGCATATAAATAGTATGCAGGAGAGTGTATTACAAAAGTTATTAGACTGTCGAATCCAAATGCATAGGGTGATCAAAGAAGACAGTCAATAATCTGCTTGTATTGCAAATGAATCTCAGAAGATTAAGTGTAGATATTTTGTTAATAAACTGTTTTCTCCAAATACATATATATATATATATATATATATATATATATATATCATCTGTTCTTGATTATTTTAATACTATAAACTAGTAATATATATGAACTGTCTGTCTAAAGTCTATTCTTCACTATAACTTATCCTTTATGCACTCGGGCATGTTTAAAATAGAACCACTTTAATGACCTATAAAATAAACTCATTTTTATTTGTGTGTAACAGGCAATACTTCCTCCCAAGTCCCAACAGAACTTTATTAATAAAAAAAACTAATTCTTTAGTAAGATAATTTCTGGATAGTGAAGATAGCTTTAAACATATACTGATGTTATCTTGAAAACCGTTGAGCAAAAAGTAACATTAGAAAGCTGCTATTGTTTCATTTTAGGACTCTTCAGAAATGCTAGTTTGTGACCATGAATGAACTCCAATCGAAGACTTTTCAGTTTAAGTGGAAGGATTTATTCTATTGGGTAGATGAACGAGTATAAAATGTATCTGTTAATTACAATGCAAATGTGTTAAGGTATTTTAACTATCAACTGAAGTTAAAAAATATATTTTCTTGGATACTAATTTATTCCCCGCAACGCAACATGCACCAACCAAATCACTCTTGATGGAGATGCCTTGGAGGACGTTAATACCTTTACATATCTGGGCAGCATCATCGACGAGAAAGGTGGATCCGATGCAGATGTGAGGGCGCGGATCGGCAAAGCAAGGGCTGAATTTCTACAATTGAAAAATATCTGGAACTACAAACAACTTTCAACCAAAACCAAAATCAGGATTTTCAATACAAATGTCAAGACATTTCTACTGTATGGAGCGGAAACTTGGAGAACTACCAAAGCCATCATCTTGAAGATACAAGTGTTTATTAACAGTTGTCTACGCAAAATACTTCGGATTCGTTGGCCAGACACCATAAGCAACAACTTACTGTGGGAGAGAACAAACCAGATTTCAGTGGAAGAGGAAATCAAGAAGAAACGGTGGAAGTGGATAGGACACACACCCTTCGAAAAACACCTAACTGCGTCACAAGACAAGCTCTCACATGGAACCCTCAAGGCAAAAGGAAAAGAGGAAGGCCAAGAAACAAATTACTCTGAGAAATAAAGAAAGACATGAGAAGAATGAATGAAAACTGGAAAGAACTTGAAAGGGAAGCCCAGGACAGAGTTGGCTGGAGAAAACTGGTGGGCTGCCTATGCTCCGTTGGGGGTAACAGGCGTAAGTAAGTAAGTAAGTAAGTAATTCATCTCCCATAAAGTACAGTAAGTATCTTGGATTCAATGTAAAATAAGGTCAATGATGCAAACCGACTCAGTGGTAAGCCTACCTTATTGTACTTTCAGTTTTATAATAGTACTCTAAATGATATCAACGCTTGACAGAATTAATAATTTGCTTTCTCTCTGAATCGTTTGAAAGTGAATGTTGTAATTTTTTTTATTTCTTGACTAATTCAAATGATAATCGAATTTAGATAGATTGATGTAAAGGATTTCTAAATTGAATGAACATTAATTGATTCGTGATAATTTCATAGTTTGTTCGTTGGAATTCGTTCCATGTTTTTTCGCTTATTTACTCAATTTCTGTCCTTATTGTTATTGATCGTAATCAAAAAAATTCAATAAACAATTACTTTCTTGTTTTAGTGATGACAATAATTCAACAACTATGAAAGATTTAAACAATCCATCTACTAAAATTTCAATGTCAAAATCGAAAGAATATTTAATCCATTATCAATTATTAATATGGAAAAATTTTCTACTTCGTAAACGACGTCCTGGTTTACTTATAGCGGAAATTTTAGTTCCTTTAATGATTCCCATAATTTTAGTTGGGATACGAACTGAATCACCACCAGTTCATGAGAACACATGTCATATACGTTCAACAAATCTTCCAACAATGGGATTATTAAGTTATTTACAGTCAATTGTTTGCAATTTTCTTTATCGTTGTCATTCTATTGATCCTGATATTAGTTCACAACAGTATAATTATACTAGTTTTGGTAATTTACTAGAAAATATCTCAGCTATTGTTGAAGAATTGTTGGATAAAAATGTGTAAGTATTAATTGTCCTATAGACTAAAATATGTTAACAGCTATAAAAGTTTTGGATTGTTTAATAAAATGACGATTTCAATTTGAAAAAATGGACTGAATTTGAACAAAATGTTTTGGAATGTTTAACAATACACTTAACTTTCAGTAGACTTTGTTTTAAACGTCAAAAAATAATATATAGTTGGAAGCCGAAAAAAATAATCGAGGGACGGATCACTTTGTTGAAGGAAGTATGAACTCCAGAAATGTTTGAAATGTTGACGGAATTAAGAACTGTTAGATATGTGTTTGAAAGTAAAACCCATAGAATACACTTATTTCGTCTTCTAATTTGAGTTTTCGAGTAACAAGGATATCTACCTTAACGGATTAAATGAAATAGTGAATCTCAACTGGAAATCATCATTGTATATATTTCAACATCGTCAAGCATGAAGATCAAGCAATCTCGTCAATGTATGTGTTCACATCTATCTGAAAAATGTAATGGGTTATGACGTAATCACTGATAAAATGCTAAAGCTCATTCGAACTCATGGATCGCTGTTTTTCGAAAATCATGAAATTAATTGTTTGATCTCATTACAGTAGTTATTTTCAACCTCTGTTTGAAAGTTGTACTGTTCTGGCCATCTGAATGGTAGCATGATATATGTGCTTTTAGAAAATCTTTATTATTATTATTATTATCCAAGGTGCTCTTAAGAAAAAATCTAAAAACTTTTTAACCAAACACAGAAAGATGATCTGTTAACATAAATAACATTACCCAGTATTAGTAAAAACAAGCTATTCAAACCAGTAAGTGTTAATGAATAGATGTGTTTATAATGTTTGAATAATATTTGAGTTGCATCACAGAACAGCTTGAACTATTAGGTGTACAACTGACTGTACTACTTAGAATACTTATTTTTAATTCTGTGGTTCAACCACTCTGTATTATTGAGCCTATTATAAATAAAATTGTTGTTAATTAGTATCATATTGACACTTGATAAATGCGTTTAGTTCTACAAAATACTTTATTAAAGGTATAAACTTAGTGATATCTCAAAAATGTGTCATATCAATGCTCCAACTGTCATCTTGGAAAAGCATTCACTTTTGTTATTAACTATCTTTCAACATTCTAATTGTAACAGTTTGATACATCATAATTGGGTATTAAATGAGATGAAAAAGATTCATTGACAATTTCAAGCTGTTTACAACATTTGAAGCTAAGCAATAGCTACATCATAAACATATATATATATATATCGAATATCTGATTAATTGTCACCTTTTATGAAATGTTCTATTGTGATGAAAATTCAGAAAATGAGGATAAACTGTATTTGGTAATTTCCATGTTTGGAATTTGATGCAATGTTATTTGGAATTACAGAAAAAAAAACTTAATATTCATTTTGTAATGCTTATCGAGTTTGAAGTGAATCATTTAGTTTTTTTATGCTCATTTAGTTTCTAATTTCAGAAGAAGATACCATAACACAAGTATACAAGTAATGCCTACCAACCTACTTACATACTTATGCCTATAACCCTTAGTGGAGCATAGGCCGCTGACCAACATTCTCCAACTTACTCTGTGCTAGGCCTTCCTTTCCAGTTTCGTCCAATTGTTATTCATTCTTCCCATTTCTGTCCTCATTTCTCGACATCACGTTTTTTGTTGGTCCTCCTATTTCCCTTTAACCCTGAGGGTTCCAAGTGAGGACTTGTCTTGTAACGCATTTGGGTAATTTCCTCAATGTTTTTCCTATCCACCTCCAGCGCTTCCTCCACTGGAATCTGGTTTGTTCTCCCCTACAGTAGGTTGTTGTTGATGATCTCTGGCCTGTTTTACGTTTACAACTGTTAATAAATATTTGTATCTGCCGGATGATGGCTTTTGTGTTCTCCAAGTTTCCGCTCCATACAGTAGAACTGTCTTGACATTTTTGTTGAAAGTTGTGACTTTGGTGTTCGTTAATAGATGTTTTCAGTTGCAGATGTCCTTTACTTTTAGAAAAGATGTCCTTGCCTTGCCAATCCGCTCCATCACATCTACATCGGATCCACCTTTCTCGTTGATGATGCTGCCCAGTTATGTAAAGTTGTTAACGTCCTCGAAAGCATCTCCATCAAGAGTGATTTGGTTGGTGCATGTTGTGTTGCATCGGACAATTTTGCTTTTTCCTTTATGTATGTTGAGACCTACTGCTGCAGAGGCTGCTGCTACACTGATCATCTTCTCTTGCATTTGTTGTTGCGTGTGCGATAGAAGAGCCAGATCATCTGCGAGGTCCAAACCGTCCAGTTGCATCCTAGCTGTCCATTGGATACCGTGCTTCCCTCTAGATGTCGACGTCTTCATAATCCAGTCGGTCACCAGGAGGAAGAGAAGGGTGAAAATAAGCAACCTTCCCTGAGACCAGTCTTCACCTCGAACGAGTCTGTTAGCTGTCCTCCGTGCACGATTGTGCAGTTGAATCCATCATAAGAATTCCGTATGATGTTGACTATCTTCTCAGGCACTTAGTATTGAAGAAGCCTCCATAAGGTTTCCCCCCCACACTTTCAAATGCTTTCTTGTTGTAGAGTAGTGAATTCCATTCTATTGATTGTTCCACAATGATCCGTAATGTTGTAATTTTGGTCAGTACACGATCGATCCTTACTAAATCCAGCCTGCTGGTCTCAAAGTTGGGTGTCTATGAAGTCCCTCATTCTGTTTAACAATACTGTATTGAAGACTTTGTGTGGTATTGAAGAGTGATGCCTCTGTAGTTTGCACACTTTCTGAGATCTCCCTTCTTTGATATTTTGATGAGGCATCCTTCTTTCCAATCTGATATTACTTGTTCCTCATCCCAAATCTTGTTGAAGAGAATGTGAAGTATTTTTGCAGTTGCTTCCACGTCTGCTTTCATTGCGTCTGCTGGAATGTTGTCTGGTCCTGTTGCTTTGCCGCTCTTGATTCGTCTGATGGCCATACTGATCTCTTCAATTGTAGGTGCGCCAACATCGATTGGGAGGTCCGTAGATGCTACTTCGATGTTGGGTGTGTTCAGTGGAGCTAGTCAATTCAAGAGTTCCTTTAAGTTCTCTACCCACCTGTTTCGCTGTTCTTTAGTGTTGCTGATTACGTTGCCTCGCTTGCTTTTCTCTGATCGTTCTGGTTTACGATGGTTTCCAGCGAGCTTCGCTGTTGTATCGTACAATTGTCTCAAGTTTCCGTCTCTTGCAGCCTTTTCCGCTGTCATTGTTAGATCTTCCACATATTTTCATTTGTCGGCTATGATGCTCCTCTTTACTCGCCTGTTTGCTTCTATGTCTTCACCTTGTGCCTTAACTTTCTCTGCTCTTATTCGGCTGATATTGATTGCTGCCTTTTTGTTCCTCCTCTCTTGAGTCATATCCAGAGTATCTACAGAGATCCATTCCTTGTAATGATACTTCTTGTGGCCCAAACCTTCTGATATGTTGAAATGATTGCCTCCTTAATCCCTTTTCAACTGTTCTTGATGGTAGTTTCCTATTCACTGAGTAGATCGTGAAAAGCCTAAAACCTATTGGTGAGGCTTATCCTGAATTCGCTCAGTTTGTCGGTATCCCAAATATAGATCGTATTAAAATTTTTTGATTCTGTTGGCCTCGTTTTCCAGTGCTTCTTGAGTCATTTTTGTCTTGGCCACTATCAAGTGATGGTATGAGCCTATATCAGCTCCTCTCTTGGTTCTCATATCCTCCATCATCTTTCTGAACTTTGTATTGATGCAGATATGATTGGCTTGGTTCTGTGTGGTGCGATTCAATGAAATTCTTGTGGCTTTATGTATGGGTTTCTGTGGGCATATTGTCCCGCCTACGGCCAGTTTTTTGAACGCACATAGGTTTACAAATCTCTCACTGTTTTCATTCCTTTCTCTCCACGAAATCCCTATCCTATCATTACTTGTTGTACTTCCTTCGACAGCATCTGTACAACTCATTGAGTACGCATAGCATTTTCTTCTTCATGGAAGGAGTAAAACAGCAGCTAGCTTTAAGCTAGCCTTAGTTGTCAAGCCTGTGTTCAATGTGTTTCCCTGATTACAAGCATCTTCAGGTTGCCTTTTTTCATTGCTGCAACAACTTTGACGAATCATCCGGTCCTCCACAGTGTATACAAACATTCCATGTACCTAAAAGAATGGTTTCTCTGATTGTGAGAAGTAATATCGTCCTTGTAACGTCCGAAGAAACTCGGCTTTTACCATGAGACGACATTACTCGTTCAAATGAAGACTTTCCAACTCCTATGGCAAAGTTAAAATGGTTTGAGTTATGTGTTCTGGTTAGTACTTTTTTAGCGAGTTGGTTTTCTACGGGATGGGTTCGCTAAACCTATGCTAAACCCTCCTCCTTTATCCGGTCTTGGGACCGACACTATTCAGTCAGTCAGTTACAACGTAAAACTTCGTACGTACGTACGTCAGTTCAGGTTACCACACCGCATTAGCACAGAGGCGCCATTGTCAGTTTAAATCCATTAGTGGTAGAGATAATAGAAGTATTAACACTAAAGAGAAGATTGGGGTTCGAAGATATGATTTTAGAAGTATAATTCAGTAAGATAAACTTCGAAACAGAAAGATAGAGATGATGAAGAATTCAGAAGGTTAGAATTTGAATGCACCTGCTCCACTGCAAACTGTTTTGAGACATGTCGTTCAAGGTCACTAACCACTGGTTGTTAACGTATCGCGGACCCCCAACCAAGTAGTCTACATCTACCAACATGACCCAGTTCATTTGTTAGTGATTTCATTGGTTTGTGCCATGTTTTGGTTTGGCCGCCCCTAACTTTCTTCCAACCTACTCCTACACCACAAAACATCACTCGACGAGACAGTTGGTGTTTGGGCATTCGTAACATATGCCCCCACCACCCCAACTGATGAGGTTTAAGTACTTCATCTATCGATTTGCTATCCCTACCTAGTACTCGCTTCCTAACAACAGCATTGCCTACTCGGTTTTCCCAGGATAACCGACTGACTCTAAACTCAGAGCAGGTCCATAAGGAGCTCTTAGTGACCTTGGAATCTTCAATTAAATGATATGTATATATATATATATATATATATATATATATATATATATATACAGTAGGACTATTTTTGTCATATTCCAAGTTGATGCTGGTTTAACTAAACGTCAAATTATATTTTTGTTAAACGAACAAATTGCTAATTCATAAAAATGATTACAGCTTACAAATGAATCATCGTATATGAACAGTTATGATGAAGTTTCTTACTGTAAGATAGCTAAGTTCATCATAATCATCCATTTGAGCTACAATCAATTTAGATTCACACTAATGAACACAATTGAATTGTTCATTTCAACCAAAATTTATCAATTCAGTATATTCTCTTAATCAACTGATCAACAATAAATAAACATCAGTCAATAGTGTTCTTCTATTATTATTATTATTATTATTATTATTATTATTATTATTATTCAACAATATCATTTTATTCTTATGATCAATGATTATTTTACATTATATATATATATATTTTTTTTAAAAAATTTATTTTTATTAGAACAAATAATTTTCAACATTTAAATCTATCAAATTTTATAAAATTTATTAAAAACTCCAACGATCTAACACAACAACGATTCATTAATGTGATATTAAATTTCCAACGAATTTATCAAGATTTATTTGATGAATTCACTTCAAATGATCAAACTACAAGTGAAACTGGCGAAAATTCAAATCATTTACACAATAAAACAATTGATTTTGGTATATTCAATATAACTGTAAAACAAATTCAATGGTTTTCTAGTTTATCACGATTTATTTGTGGTACAAAAACTGCGAATTTAAATGATATTGGTAAATTGATAGAATTTTTAAAAGAAGTTGATTTTTCCAATATTTTTGATATTGAAAAAAAATTAAAACGAATACGTCGTTCATCATCATCATTGTTAGCAACATTGAATAATAGTGAATCTATTGAAAATGTCTATAAAATTAATTGTCTGGCATTAGATAGTCTATTGCGTCATTCATTGTTGGTACATTATACTGGACGTTTAAGATTTCTATTGAATGGTTATATATTTTATCATCCTGTCAATCAATGGACTAATGAAATTATCTATAGAGCTATAGAACCACAACGGCTATTAATTTTACTCAAAGATACATTGAAACAATATCAAGCTCAAACAAAACCTCATTTAGATCGTTGGCTATCAAACACCTCCGTATTAGTAGAAGTGACAAAAAGTTTAAAACTATGTGCAACACCAACAAATAAAACAAAAGCATTACCTGAAAAGATTCGAAATCTATGTTTAAATATTTTAACTTGGTTAAATCCTGAATATAATATGAATAGTCAGTTGAATCAAACGGATTCTTTGTCGGCAAATAAACTAATTATTTATAATCGAATTAATAGTATCATTGATATCCTAATTCAATTGTTAGATTGTTTCCCATTAGCCGCTAATGTTTACGGTGTAAACAATCAATCGAATTTTCATTTTTACATGAATTTATTCAAATCACAAATTCATCCAATTGTTCAAGGAATACTTTTTAATAATACCCAATCTTTATCAAATAATAACGATGTTAACAATAATGATACATTTAGCTTACAACAAGGTCAATCCACTATTGTGACAATACGTCAAAGTCCATATTTGATTGATGAAACTAATGATTTCAAAGTGTTAGATCATACATGGCATCCAAAACCACGTAATAGTTTATATGGTGGTGATACAAAATATCTTACAAGTGGTTATTTAGATATGCAAGATTTAATCAGTAATGCAATAATTGAATTATCAAATAATCTCCCAGAACGTATGATACGTTTAATGCACTCGTGGAATACTTCATCATCAACATCCTCATCATCATCTCCATCCTCATCCTCACCATCAACCTCATTGGCCAATTTACTGCTAATTGGTAAACAAATGAAATTTTTTCCAACTTCCTGTTATACACAAGATGTATTTTTAAATAAAATTACCAAATTATTACCACAATTATTATTATTGACATGGATATTGAGTGCAATGTTAATTACAAAATTTATTGTTGAAGAAAAAGAAAATTCTATGAAAGAATTTACTAGAATTATGGGTATCACCAATGTAATACATTGGTTAAGTTGGTTTACTAGTATTCTACTGATTGGTTTACCAATCACTTTAATCATGACATTTACATTAAAATTTGGAAATATTTTTCTATTAAGTAATGTACTCATTATTTTTTTATTATTTTTTTCATATTTAATATCAATTATAATGTTTTGTTTTCTATGTTCAACCTTATTTCATAAAGCAAATTTAAGTGCTATTGTAACAGGATTATTGTATTTCATTATTTATATACCAACACCATTAATTTTGGCTAATGAAAAATGGATTCGTGAAGATGTGATTATTTTTGCATGTTTATCAAATCAAGTAGCATTTTGTTTAGGTCTTTATGCATTGATACGCTCGGAATCACAAGGTTTCGGTTCACAATGGTATGATTTATGGTATCCAAAGCTGAGTGATTCATTATTTTCACCTGGTAAAAGTATTCTTATGCTATGGATTGATTCATTGATATATTTATGTATGACATTATTGATAGAATGGATTATTTCAAAAAAATTTAATCTACATCAATTGATTTATGAACGATTCAAGTGTCAACGTACAAAACCAAAAGAGGCCAGCAACAGTTTTACCTCTGACGAAGCTGGAAATGTTCAACGATGCGTAGAATTGAATACAGAATGTTTACCAATTAGTATTTCTGTAGAGAATTTGAGTAAAATTTACACAAAAGGAGGTAAACCAGTATTGAATCAATTAAATGTGAATTTCTATGCCAATCAAATTACATCACTTCTAGGTCATAATGGAGCTGGGAAATCCACACTGATCTCAATTCTAACTGGAATGCATAAACCAACTAAAGGTTCAGCATTTATATGTGGTTATAATATTGAAAATCAAATGAATACAATACGTACTAATTTAGGCTTTTGTCCACAACATAATATACTCTTTGATTATCTCACTGTAATTGAACATATTGAATTTTATGCTAAATTAAAAGGTTTCACTAAAGAACAAATCAAACGAGAAGTGGAATATTTCAGTAAACTTTTAGGTTTAACACATAAATTGAATGATCAAGTGAAAAATTTATCCGGAGGACAAAAACGTAAATTATCCATTGCTATCGCGTTTGTTGGTCGTGCTTCTGTGATTTTATTAGATGAACCAACTACCGGTGTCGACCCTTATTCCAGACGATCAATATGGGATTTAATTTTAAAAGTTAAATTAAATAAAACAATCATTATCACAACACATCATATGGATGAAGCTGATATACTTGGTGATCGTATAGCGATTATTTCACAAGGAAAATTAAAATGTTACGGTTCTAGTTTATTTTTAAAATCAAATTATGGTCAAGGTTATTATTTGATTTTAGAACGTCAAAATCAATTGAGCGATGAAAATTCTTTAGAAAGTTTTCGTACTGACACTTTGGAAGAGGAAGATTTTGAATATATTATGAATTATTTAAAACAATTTATTCAAGGCATCAGTTTGATTAATTTTAGTCAAAATGAATTAGTTTATCGTATACCATTACAAAATGTTATTGATGGTTCTTTAAGTCAAATGTTAAATCAATTTGAAAGACAATCATCTGATACGGATAAAATTACACTACCCATTGAATTATCATCACGAGGTATACTAAGCTGTGGATTAACTGATACATCATTAGAAGAAATATTTCTCACTATGGCTGATGATCCTGCCACATTGTCATCCATATCATTGGATTCATTTTCTCCAAGTTGTGATCAAAGCACAATAACCAATCAAAATGACATGAATTCATGTGAAACAAATGAAAATAAAAACTATACATCATCAATAACTGAAATCCCTAAAAAATCTAAAAAGTTTACTTATATCAAACTACGTAAATCACAAATGAATTGTTTACAACAAAGTTATCGTTTATCACATTTAACAGATGGTGGTCGAATTCCTGCCCCATCAACATCATTCAGTGTAAATCGTAAACATTATTTCCGAACGACAACTACAATGCCAAAATCCAATGAATCTCATTCTAATGTAAAATCACCTGAAAATATTCAATTAAATCAACCAAAACCAGGACAACAAATGAAAGCAGTATTTATTAAACGATTTCATTATACAAAACGTTCTAAATTAAATATATTTATTGAATTTATTTTACCAATATGTGTATTAATTTTAGCTTTATCCTCTTCACAATTATTTAATAAAACATCATTTTATCAACCAATGATTATAAGTCCATGGTTAATGTTAGATGAAAAAATTGAACAACCATTGAATACATTTTATGAAAATAATTTATATGAATTTGAAGATCCAATGGAAAATTTACTGAATAAATCAAATCTATTCAAATCTGCATTAAATATAGCTTGGGAATATGAGAGTGCGCTGAAGAAACCTTATGGATGGACTGGTATTGGTTGTTTACCTAAAGAGATATTAAAAAGCACAAATAAACATTATAAATTATTTGGTCAATGTGATTTATCAAATATGAAAATAATTAAAAATGAATTAACTCGTTCAGAAATGCAATATATTCGTTCAATTCAGTCGACTCAATGTACTTGTAAATCGTCCTCTTCCTCATCACCATCATCATCTTCATGTTCAATGGATAGTTTTACTCAGTTTAAACAACAACCAAGTTCAAAAATATTGCCAACAAAAGATATTTTTTCAAATTTAACATCATTTAAAGTATCTGATTATTTAGTTAGAACACAAAATCAATTTATTCGACAAAGATATGGTGGACTGAGTTATCATACACTCAACTATCCATATTTTCGTACTATTTCAAAATATCTCTTACATCCAATTAATCCATTGATAGTTTCTTTAACGAATGCCACCAGTTCATATGATTCCACAGTTAATCTTACTAAAAAAGATACTTTCTGGTCAGATTTAGTGACTTTTTTACGTCTTTCCCTACCACCAATCTCATATTTTCGTATATGGTTTAATAATAAAGGTTATGCAGCTGCGCCGGCCTATTTAAATTCATTACATAATTTACAAGCACGTATGTTAACTAATCATCAAATTGGTTTAACAGAAAGAAATTTATCACCAAGCATTATATTTATCAATCATCCATTATCAATACCAAAAGAACAAAAAAAATTAGGTTTACCAGCTGAATTATTATTTGATTTAACATTATCATTATTCACTTTGTTGAGTTTATCATTTATTCCAGCTAGTTTTACATCATTTCTAGTGAAAGAACATCAAACTGGATCGAAACATTTACAATTTGTTTCAGGTTTAAATCCATTCATTTATTGGTTATCAGCTTATTTATGGGATATATTAAATTATACTGTATGTGCTTTTATGTGTATTCTTATATTTGTAATTTTTCAAAAATCCGCCTATATTAATTCCGATGTGATTGGTTCATTGATTTTACTGATCATATTTTATGGTTTAGCTATTATACCAATGCTTTATTTAGCAACATTTTTTATACATTCATCTAGTACAGCATTAGTAATATTGTCAATATTTAATTTATTAATTGGTTCTATTACATGTATGTGTACATTGATATTGGATGATTTTTCACGTAATAATTCATCACTAGAGCTGATTAATAATGCATTAAAAATTCTATTCACTATATTTCCACAATATTGTTTAAGTCGTGGACTATTTGATTTAGCTAGTAGATATTATACAATGAAATTTATACGACAAATAACAATGAATATTAAACAGTCACCAATTACATCGAAGACTATCATTACTGATCCATTTGATTGGAATATTCTTGGTAATAAACTATGCGCATTACCAATTGAAGCATGTTTATTTTTTATGCTTGTTCTGCTGAAAGAACATAATTTTTTTATTCAGTCGATAAAATTTTATTTTTATAAACATTATCCAAAATTATTACAAGCGCATAATATGTTATTTATGAAAAAACTTGCTCGAATTCAATCACTTAATCATTATTATCATCAGAATAAAATAATGATTGATAATAATGATTCTGAAGATGAAGATGTACGTGCTGAAAGACAACGTATTACAAAAGTAAGTGTTCATTGTTTACTAGTAACAGTATTGTAATTAACTTGATGATACTTTGATATATATGTGTAGGATGTGAATAGTTTAACGTTAATAATGTAGTGAAGGAGAACACAGGTGACGGCAACCGAATTGTATTTATCCTAAATTACAGAGTTACTTAGGTAAAATAGGAAAAACCATATAGTAAATCGTTAATTTGCAAAATCTTCAATCCATCATCAATCCATTGTCTGACAATTTCACTAGTTCATGCGTTTCATACAAATTCCATTGTGTTCCCGCTCTTCCTCTCATGATCTTCCCCCATCTTCTGCTGCCAGACATTACGTTTTACACTCAGCGTCACTATACTACTTATAAGTAGCGCGCACCACAATAATAGTACTAAGTGAATCACTGTGGTTCTGTTCAGTTGAACCTGCTAGCTGATTATACTGAAATGAAATTGTTTGCAACTATTTCATTTTTATTAATCAAATGTACCAATAAACTTAGAAGCAGGAACAAACTATTCATTGACACGTAAATTAAAACTTTATGAGATATAGAATCAAACTATAAAAATTTTATCCAGTAACAAGTAAAATATGTTAGTCATTAGATAAACAAGGACATCTTTCTAAAATATTGTATGATTACAATATCACGAGTTATCCTAGGTTAGGTATCGATTAAAAGTTATTTTTTCACGATTGTGAAAGTTATGAAATCACCCTGAGTTAGCTAGGAATTACAAAACTTATTTCAGTAAAAAAGATTATTTGTTATCTGTCTTGAAAAACCGACAGATCTAACACTAATTAGATATACAGTCCGCCTGATTTTGTTCATTAGTAAGAACGCAGTGATGGTAAGTTTCATTTTATACTTCAAACTGCATCATCTTATCCCTCTTTTTGTACAGGTGCACTTTGCGTTTTATTATAGTAATTCATACTACTTATGAGTAGCTAAAAGTAATCGAAGAAACTTTTAGTACACTACCTATTTTGTGCAACTATGGTAACATGTGAATATGCAATGCTAACCACTTTGATCACTTGTTTATTACTTGTTTTGACACCCACCTTACTGCTCATTCACTTATTATATAGATCAATCCTATATTGTAAGATGATGGAAGACGAAATTAGACAAACAATTTATTTAAAGAAGACTTAACCAACTGGCCACAAGGTGTACGCCTTGTCACAATATATTCATTTAAAAGACAAGAGTATTCTTGACTGCCTTATTCTACATGTATTTTGTTCCTCGAAATACCCAGATCACGCCATAAATCCGACACTTCTTTCTTTCCCCGTAACCTCCGGGCGACACTGTTGCACATTCATTGTACACTACTTATCAGCTCCACCGTTAATAGCAAACACTATATTTCTTTTAAAACAGTTCAGAAAATTATTTAAAAACAATTAATTAATCCTTATTGAACCCTGTCTAACATTTACAACTTAATTAAACATAGTCAGTGAAAGCTAAAGCATTTTAAAGTACACCTTTGTTTTTGTTATTTCAAAAGATTTCAGTAATGATATGATTAGCTGACAGATCATAACTACTTCGAAATCCTCATCTCTTTTTTAATTTATCTCTATTTAAGAACAGTCTATCGTGTAATGAAGTTTTTCATAGCAAATAACTTAATGATATACTCTTGTTATGCTACATGTTTTCTTTAAGGTGACTGATGTAGTACACGTGTTTGAAACCCTTGAAAGCATTACTTGTTATGTTCTCTGAGCTGCATGTGAAGCTTTATTTGACATTTTTGGACAATAACATCAGTACACACTTCATTCTAAAGTGGAATATTCGAATTTTGTTTGCCTATAACTGACAGCCTGTTCTGTTGATCTTCATCTCAGTCACATGTGAAGAAATTCGAATTGCTCACTAAATTCCAAAACATTACACTGTTATTGTTTTTCAGAAGCACAATGAAAGTATCTCAATTCAGGTATCTAGATCTTAGAATGAAACTCTACCAAAATCATCCACCCGAGTAATAAATATTTAATATTACAAAAGTACAAATTGTTTATCTGAAACTTTCGGTATGATGTTTTTAGACTAGCTATTTCATTTTTACATGTCAGTCGGTCAGTTGCAACGTAGTACTTCGTACGTATATACATAAGCTCAGGTTGCCATACCACATCAGCACAGAGACGCAACTGTCAGTTTAAGTCCAATAATGGTAACGATAGTAGAAGTATTAGCAGTAATGGAGAAAATTAGTGAGCGAAGATATTATTCAAGAAGTATTATTCAATGAGATAAGGTTAGAAAGACAAAAGTAGAGGTGCTGACGAATCCAGAAGATTAAGATTTGAGAGAGCAAAACGAATGGATGCAATGGCGTCATTGTAAATTTGAATATATTTATGCAAATAGATTTGTACAAAGGTTCGTGAAATAACCGAATGAATACCGTGTGCTAGGCTTTCAATACGGAATGTCAAAATAGTATTGCTGATAAAAAATATCAAATACCGAAGTTATTTTCTATAATTTCACAAATTTGACCATCAAAATTAGAGATATGTTGTAAATAAAAGTTTTAGAGCATATTCACCAACTACATTCCCACATAACCTGAATATCGAAAAGGGATAAGTAAAACAATCATTCTTATTTCAAATGAGTCGAAATAATTACCAAATCAAAATTGAAACATATTTCAAATACATCTCATCTCTGTAATGCAACGTTGTTCATTCTTAGTAAATATCCATTGATAATTTTATGGTATTAGCTACATATTTACATCTACCTGACTGACTGACTGACTTAATCATTTGAAACGTATCGTTTAAAAATGTCGGACAAAGTTTACAGCTTTTTTTTAAGAGTAAATTAATTTTGAATATGTGTAATCTAACTTTCTTCCATTTAATTTCAAAAAACATTTCTCCTTTAAGTTGTTCATTCACTTCTGTACACTTTTCTCATTTTTTATTTTCAAAGTAAAAGACATCATGCAACCTTGTCAATATTCATAGTGACGAGATGTAATAATTATAATATGAGATAAGAGTACAGGATATAACATAAATAAAAAAGAGCCTGTAATGAATTTGTTATGCTCGTCACTTGCTATGCTTGAAACTATTACAATTTCACCTTAGTCGATAAACGAGAACGAGACAATGAACCAGTGACACGGTAGGCTACTCTGATCCGTTTACCCAAAGGAACTAACGAAAAGTCTTAATATAACGTAGAAAGTGTATTCTACAAACACCCAGCAAGCACACAAACCGCCTTTATTTATACATCAGAGAAACATCGTTGGGATAGTCACTAAAATAACACATCAACCAATCACAGCCAAGGATTTTCATGGTGCGATATTTGATCTCAAGGTCAACAGATCAGCCCATGAATAAAATCCAAAATTAAGACATTTGTCAAGCGAGTTCTGAGGGATCTAACGTCCCCAACATTATTGCTCATAACTATTATTTAAAAGAATTGAGAAAAAATGAAAACAGTTTTCTTAACATGTTGAATAAGTTAAAGCTTCTTCACAATGAGAAAAGTAATGCAACTCCTGTTTTTAAAAAAAATATTTTACAGTCATAGATTAGTTCTGTCTTTCATTGAACAACTGATTAAACTTTCAGAACACTTGACAGCATTTTTTAACTCTTTTTCATTTTTGATAAATATTAACAAGTGGGACAATTTAGACAAACTGTTGTTTTTATTTGCTGCTTTCGAGCAGCGAGGATTTACTTCAAGTTAATTACATTTTTTTAATGTAATTTAAGCTATTGAATTAGTAAAGAGTAGTATGTATATATTTTTTCAATTAGAGTTATGAAGATAAGTGTTTTTTTCACACATTGAAATCATCAGTCAATCATTGTTAGACCACCATTAGACACCTGCGAGCACTGGACGGCCGTTTCGTCCTGGTATGGTGGCCAATTTCCACATGTTCTTAATCTTCGTAATTAGCTCGTCCAGACAATCGTTATTAAGTAGCGTCTGATGGTTTATAAATCAGAAGGCGAATTCGAAGTGTTGAATACGTTTATTTTGGCACACCATAAATAGGGATAGCAGACTACAAGCAGACCGGACAGGCACACTAGCGAGCGAATATGCGAATGGGCGAATGAATTAGTAAGATAAAAATGTTTGTATATTTACAAAGGAAGATATCTGAGTCGTGATATTTAAGAGATCAATAATAAATCGAGTAGGATGCATATGTGCGTAGGCGGTAAGCAATGCTCAGTCATACCAGCTCATACAAACCACACAATAATAAAAGCCAATAGTACATATAAGTTATTGTTTAACAAATGGCTTAGTTAACTAAATAAATCAAAAGGGCTTAACCAAATTAAATGTAAGCGAACTCGAATATACGTGGAGGCACTACACTGGTATGGTACAAATCAGTGGCAGTGCGCATCCATGACTCTTGCACCTCTCAGGATTGGATTGCGCGCGAACGCCTATTATTATGTGTTAACTACAATAAAATCTATGCTTTGTTCATTGGTCTTATAGTAAACAATTCGATGAAGTATATGATCTATTTACATCTATAATGAATTAGTTCACATGAGAAAAGATATGGTTTAATGAAAAGTAGTTTTTACGAATACATATCATTGATATTCAGAGTAGAAATTTTAATTTATCTTGTGTATAAGAAAAATAAATTATCAACTTGGAAATATTGTGTTTAAAGATTTCACTGTTATGTGTAGTGACGCTAATCTATTTCATTTCATCGGGATAATTGACTCATAAATTACCTTAATTATCGGTTTAACATTTTCATTTTATCATTCATGTATATTGTATATAGAGTAAAGCATGATGATAATCTAGTTGAGAACAATATTTTTTGAAACCATGAATCGATCAACGTTAGACCACCATTAGAAACCTCGAAGCACTGGACGGCCGTTTCGTCCTGGTATGGGACTCCTCAGCAGTGCGCATCCACGACTCCTGCACCCCACAGGATTCGAACCCAGCACCTCACGAAGCTTAACAATCTTCACAACCCCGTAATGCAAATTACCTGTGCTCACTAGTGACTAGCTTCGTGAGGAATCTTCTCCGAGTTCTAGTGGGAAGACGTGACCAGTGACGTTCAACCTGTTCGGGTGTAGACAGTAACTACCGGAGACTGTGTATGAGGTTGCGCAACTCCGTGAATTGATCAAGTTAAACATTAACACCGTTAGATACCGTCTCAGTGGTCTTACGGATAGGGCGTCCGCGCACAATACCGAAGGTCCTGGGTTTGAATCCTGCTGGGTGCATGAGTCGTGGATGCGCACCTCTGAGGAGTCCCATACCAAGGCGAAATGTCCGTCCAGTGCTTCCAGGTTTCTAGTGGTGGTCTAACATTGATCGATCCATGGTTTCAAAGAATGCGTAACTTAACAATCTTCACAACCCTGTAATGAAAACAATAGAGTTTGCTTGTTTATGTGTTGTTCTAATTTTCACAATGGGAGCGTTTAATATTCTTGAAAATGTAATGATTCACTATTATCTTGAATGCATATGAACATCCACAATAATCGTCACATCAATAGAGAGGTTATAATGAAAAACATTCCGACTAGAATGACTTCGTATTCTCTTTTTTTTGAAAATAACGGATTATTCTTCATTTATGGATTTACGTTTCACTATTTTCATCTGATTATAGCTTATGCTTGATTTTCAATCTATCTTATCAAACAAAAATTTTGTTTGATTTATACTGTTAGGCATTCACGTAAACATCTAAATCAGAAATGCTTAAACTATTACGAGTTTATCTTAGTCGGAAAACGACAGTGAGGATCATGGATCTAGTGACACGACAGGCTACTCTAATCCGAGTGTCCCAGCCCCCATTGAGTAAAAGAAGAAGACTTGATATGATTTAGAACCTGTATTCTACAAGCATCCATAACGTACGAGGTTCGTGCACAGAAGAGGATAAGGATCCAGGACTAAGGATCTGGGTCCGTGTCCAGGTTATAAAACGTTACAGATAATCCGTATTTATACATTTAGGTCGAATATGAAACAACATTGAAGTCTGGGACACTGACAGTTAGGAAAACCAATGGGAAACAACATTGAAGTATGTGACATTGATAGTTAGGACGACCAATAGAATTAGACTTACAAATAACTATCTTAGGATATTGAATGAATATCCTCACAATACACTTGAATATCTGCTTTCAACACATTGAGCAACAAACTTTTCATTGAAAGCATAAATTATTTTTATAATGCATTCTATTTTCTTTCTGTTTATTTAGGCTGACGAATTAGGTCTTATCAACTCTTTATGTTCAGTTGCAGTGATTAATTTAACGAAATTTTTTCCTCTCAAAAAGAAACCATCTGTCAATAGTTTAACATTTGCAGTTCGTCCAGGAGAATGTTTTGGTTTGCTTGGGGTAAATGGTGCAGGTAAAACGACCACATTCAATATGATCACTGGGAAATTACATCCATCGATGGGAACTGTCTATGTGAATGGGTTTAATGTTGTTACACAAACTAAGAATGCACATAAAAATCTTGGATATTGTCCACAATTTGATGCTGTTCACGATCTATTGACTGGTAGAGAAACATTAAGTTTATATGCTCGTTTACGTGGCTTTCCTGAAGAACAAATTCCAATAACTGTTTCTGAATTGTTACAAAATATGGGCTTATCACCATATGCAGATCGAATTGCATCGGCTTATTCCGGTGGTAACCGGCGTAAACTATCCACAGCAATTGCAATCATTGGAAAACCACAGGTTATTTTACTAGATGAACCAACTAGTGGAATGGATCCAGTTGGAAAACGTTTTATGTGGGATCAAATTATAGCACTCGTTAAAGAAGGTCGATCTGTTATACTTACAACTCATAGTATGGAAGAATGTGAAGCTTTATGCCAACAAATTGGAATTATGATTAATGGAAAGTTGAAATGTTTCGGTAGTTCACAACATTTGAAAAATCGTTTCGGTAATGGTTATCGAGTTGAAATACGTTTAAATCATTTAACTACAGATGATGAAGTGAATAAATTGAAAATTGAATTTCATGCTAAATTTCCCAATTCAACATTGAATGAATTACAATCACGATATTATGAATATCAAATGGATAAACAAGTTCAACTCTCGGCGTTATTTACATTTTTAAATGAAATGCAAGCTAATCATGCAATTGAATATTATTCAGTGAAACAAACAACATTAGATCAAGTATTTGTGAATTTTTCAAGGAATCAAATGAATGAAACAGAAAACGGTGATAATATTCAACTAACTAATTAGGAAATTACACAAAAATGTGCCTTGACAAAATATTCTTTACTTCATTGCATTACTTATGGTACGACAATCATCAAAATGTATGATACAATTGTTTGTTAGTCAGAAATTAATGATATATACACGTACACATATATGAATCATTATTCTTCGAAAATCCAATTATTCTTTCGAAAACAAACGCAACGCTTCTTTATAATTTAATACTTTTGATATATATAGATCATTGATATTGTATGAAATAAATCAAATAAAAAGTTTTGGAAAAGATTGTAGTTTTCTTTCTTTTGTTATCAAATTTTTTAACAGTTTTGTTGGATTGTAGAATACGTCATGTACTGAATAAGTAAATATCATTGTATGTATTTTATGTAACAATAGTCCAAGATCTGTTCAAGTACTGATATGCACGTCAATTGATATGCTTGAAACTATTACAAGTTCACCTTAGTCGGTAAACGAGAGTGAAGTTAAATGATCCAGTGACACGATAGGCTACTCTAATCCGAGTGTCCAAACCTAAAAGAAAAAGACTTGATATGAAGTTCAGATGAGAACCAAGACCCAGGACTAGGGATAGGGGTCCAGACCATAAAACGTTACAGATAATGCGTATTTATACATTTAGGTTGATTATGAAACAGCATCGAAGTCTGTGACATTGACAGTTAAGTCGATCAATAGGAAACAACATTGGAGTACATGACACTGATATCTAGGATGACAATAAAATTGTCTAGTAGGAATTAACCAATAGGATTTTGGATGAATATCCCAACAAAAATAAATTGCTCTAATTGTGAAAAACACTGCGTAGGGAAAAGTGGACATATACTTGAGCTTCGTCTGATCATCCATTAGCAGTTAAACACCATAACATTTCTTCCCTTATACTACATACGGACAATTTGGACATACATTCATTTGGAACAATGTGGAAATACTGGATAGGGGGAGCAAAAGGAACACCAATGAATTTTTAGAAGCTTGACGCTCAGGTCAATAAGCATTTAATAGACACACTGACATTGACCCAATTTATCAACCAATCAGAAAAATCGTAGGCAAGCATGGGATCAAGAAACAGATCAAAGTGGGACACAATAAAAAAAGGTGCAAACAACGACAGGTTTAAGGTCAACAGCAACCAATCGAGCCGAAGATAGTAATAGGTCATTTAGTGAGAAATTTCAATCAATTTGTAAACTCGGTTTAGTAATTTTTCTCTTTTGATCATAAAACCATAGTCTATGAAAATTAATAAATTTTCTATTTATTCAACTTACATTTGATATTATTCTATAATTAGTAAAATGTGTGTTGTTTTGTAGTTACTTTAGTTACTGTCTACACCCGAACAGGCTGAACTTCCCTGGTCACGTCTTCCCACTAGAACTCGGAGAAGATTTCTCACGAAGCTAGTCACTAGTGAGCACAGGTAATTTGCATTACGGAGTTGTGAATATTGTTAAGTTACACATTTTTGAAACCATGAATCGACTGAGATAGTATTACTTTGGGTATATCATATGGCAATAGTTATTCTTGATTATGATTTTTACGGCAGTATATATTTAGACTATATTGATTTTTTATCCATGTTATTTTATGAGTCGGTTATTTTTCTGAAAGAAAAAAAACATTACAAGTTTTTCGTTCTGACATTAAAAAAGGACACATTAATTTGCAAACTATTTAAGCATAATTAATAAATGTCATTTAAGAGCAATAAATTCTAAATTATCTAGTGAACGCACTTTTTTATTAACTTGAATATGAATTAGCCATGTTCACTGGTGTTTCAGCAATAATATGAACCAATTATCAGTATTTGAGTTTCCTCTTGAAGAATTAAGTTGCTCACATGATATAACTTGTCCGAAAAAATGGATTAATTTGTACATGTGGTGTTTCTAAATTAACACAGTTTTTCGTAACATGAATCAGGACATATTTAACTCAATTCTGAGTGATATTTCTAAGAGGTACATTCAGTTGGTGAAAACTACTGATGTCGTGATTTGCCTATCGACTACTTAAACCCTTCGTTACCTATACAATTGTTCCTCACCGACATGTAATAATGGGATATTATGTCTACATTTATCATTTCCAAACATGTCATACAGAGTTACGCATATTAACATGCATATCTGATGACTGGTAAGACAATAAATTTGAATTAAAATTTGTAAACACCGAAATTTATTGGTATCGGATACATTTTATGTCTTTAAGGAAATACTTTAGGTTTAGTCAAGTGGTGGTTTGGCTTATTGATCGTATACAACTAGACATTATAGAATAGACAGTAAGTAAATTGTTATCATAGGGTTGAGGAGAATTTTGCCTCATTTCAAAATCATGATTCGATCAGTGTAAGACTACGATTGGAAACGTGTAAGCACTGGAACGCTTTTTGATTTTATTATGGGACACGTCATCATTGCGAATCTGTGACCGTAGATGCGAGAATCGATCTAACGACCTTCGGTCTGGTGCGCAAAGGCCTGCCCTGTTGGACACTGAACTTGCATCCACAGGCGTTAATGTTCCATCTCATTCTATCTACCGAATTGCACGACGGCAAATAGTACGATAATTTGAACTGATAAACATGCGTACAATGCTATACAATGTAAGAGATATATCAAAATAAGGGGTAATTATGGATAATCATTTTCAAATTAGTGAAGGCACAAGTAGGATGGAGAAAATAAACTTGACAGTAATAATGATATAATATTTTTCAAACTTATTCCCATCACAATATCCATATCTGAAAGTATTACAATGCTTTAAGGATTATTCAAATAGATTGCTCGTCGTTAAATGTTACGAATGAAACAATTACCACTAAACTACTTCAACATTGAATATATAACTGTAAACAATGAAATTAGTTCAGCGTAGTTGTAAGAATGAGAAAAGATGAATGGGATCAGAAAAATGATCAACAATTACATCCCATAGAAAACATTTCCGGCGCAAACGCTAAGAAATCAAATCAAAATCAGTTCTTAATATTCCATTGCTAAATGATTTGCCATTCATCTGTTTCGGTCCCCATATTGTCTATGGACAGCTTCATGCAACTCCTTAAATGAGTAGTCAGCTTTCAACAGTCTTTATATCCTCCTCCAGGTTTATGGTCAACACGTGGCTTGACTATACTCTGCAGAAAATTTAAATGATCTGAGAGTATTTATTCGCTAACACCGAAGTGTAATTCTCAAACTAGTCAAATTGTTCCCTGGTAGTCATGCATAAATCCATTGAGTATTGAATATTAATTATTTAGCTTAAATGTAGTTAGCTGCTCATTGAATGATCATCAACTGGTCAATGCTGACAATAAAAATTATCTGGAGCGCATTCACGGGAAATATATGCATCAAATGACCAAGTGAATAATACTGAATCACACTCAGTATAGGCGTACGTTAATCTTCAGTATCGATTTTTATTTTTTTTAAATTTTGAAAATGATTCTGTCAATAAATAATCAATTGAGGCGATTTGCAAATCAGTTATTAGTGAAGCAGTAGTATGACTGATTCAAGGAAGAGAATTTGCCGTTACTTTAACACTGTAGGAGGTTGCTGGTATGGAGACTGTTGTAGATTTCTACATATCCCAAATAAGAAGCCACCATGTATATTTTATGAGTAGGACTGTCAATAATGTTTCGATCGAAATTTCAGCTTATCAACTGGATGTCGCTATGGAGAAAGTTGTCATTTTGCACATGACAGAACACCTCTAAAATCGGTTGAGAATTATGATAACAATGGTTGTATCGAGTCAATAAAAGACGTAAGTTTCTCACTGTTTAATATATTTCTTTCTTGATGCAACATATCGTATATAAATATGTCGAGGCAGTTCCAAAGTGAGCAAACTCGTTGCATTGATTGATGATGAGGAATTCCTCGGCATGGAATAATACTGATCTAATCACCTTCGACCTTAGCAAACGTAGACGTGCCGATAAGTTGATAGGAGTCTCTTTCTGGACACATAGATCACGTTTGAGTAGTTTAAATGCTGTCAATTAGTCAATGTTCGGCAAACTATTTTCAATGCGAACCCACAAACTGAGCTTAATCCTATTTACATCTTGTCGTATGGATGTGTATGCCAATTGAATTACTCTTCACAAGGCAACGTCAACAATGAGATGATGCAAAGCATCATGACTTGAACTGTTGTTCCTAATGATATTATTTATAAAAGTCTCACAAACACTTAGCAGAGTTCTATAGCAATTTTCACCGAGAATGCTAGTTTCGTCACGTGTTATTTTTCAAATTGTTCTACTGTTGTGCTATGATTACAGATTCTGAAGGCGAATATGACTTTGAAGGAATTAACTGGGACAAACAATAATGATATGACACGATCAGTTTTAAACGGCAAGCAAGAGAAAACAGTAGAAAATGTATCGGATTTAGTGCAAGATAAAAATAATGCAAATGCCATTGGTAAGCACGATCGGTCTATCCAGAATGTTTCAATCAATTTGGATGAGGACAGCACAGAATTCGAAAGTTTGAATGTATCCACCACCAGTAATTTGATCGGTACAAACGAAACGAGTCATTTCGAATCTACACCATGTACTGCATGTGGTGACGATCCTTCAGTGAAAACTGACAATGCACTTAATTACGTGTGCAACGTCGACAAAGCTTCAACTGATCAAGCCGTCAAAGAAAATAGTCAAAATCATATCAAATCTGCAGTATCTGGACATTCACAAAACTTGCATGGAAATGAGATGCATTGTGGTAATCGATCATTTGTATGCTTTACATAGTGTTTTTTAACGGGTAAACTATACCAGACTTAAATTAAATAAAAAACAGGCTTTCGAATTTCTCACAGATGAATAACAACACACTGAATAAATACTCAACTGCAGTATCTTATCTCAGTGGTATGCAGTTGTGACGAGCTAAAGAAATTAGCTTTCAGGTAGTCTTATCATTTAATCAGTGCCT